AACACCTTTACACCTTGGCATTCACACGCACACTCATACACTATGGCTAATTTAGTTCATCCAATTCACCTATAGCGCATGTCTTTGGACCGTAGAGAAAACCGGAAGGAACCAACTTGAATAAGGGTAGAACATGCAAACTCCACACAGAAACATCAACTGGCTAAGCCAGAACTCGAACCAGCGACCACTGAGCCATCATGCAAAATAATATTAATAATAATAATAATAATAATAATAATAATAATAATAATAATAATAATAAAAATAAAAATAATAATAATAATAATCATAATCATTATAATCATAATAATAATAATAATAAATCTGCAGGCTCTTGTCTCTTAGGCTATTGTTGCATTACTTTTCATGCATTTCTTTTTTTATTTTACAAACTGAACGCTTTGAATATCTGGCCATAAACCATAGGCCACAGATTTTGAACATGATTTAGAATATTGAATATTTTTAGTCATGGTGACCTATAAAATAAGGTCTTTATGAAGTTTAAGAAGTACATATTTTTCTCCTCTTCAAAATGCAATAGAGTGAACATATTCAATTTTAGCAGTACTTGAGTAAAAGTACTCACAGTACTTCCCACAAGATACTGATGACAGTTCACACTAAAAAATTTTCAGCTCAATAAACTACTAATTTACTGCTGAATGCAATTTAGTAAGGTAGTAGTTTAGGTTTACAGTGGGTATTGGGCAGGATAAGGATTTAGAATAATCTAGAATAATCTAGGATCTAGAATAAGATTATTGTTATTGTTGTTTAGTACTAATAAACAATGAATATCTTAATAGTAGGCAAGTCATATGCCACTAGTTAATAGTGCAAATTGGTAATTAAACTAAAGTGATACCTAATCTTTCTGTTGTGGAAAGCACACAATATATATAAAAAAAGTCTGTTTTTGTCATTATAATGCAAGTAAAATGGAGCCCACTGACTTTGTCATTGTATGAACAGAAGGATTATGTTATTCTGGAGTTTTTCACAATAGAAAAAAAGTCATACAGGTCTGTAACGACATAAGGGCGAGTACCTGATAACAGAATCCATTTTTTTTTTGTACAGTGACTGTTGTAATTGTACCCCTGCAGATAATCAAACAAAGGTTGTATGGATAGTGACACACTGAAAGGAAAAGAGGTTGAGAGATGTGTGATGAAAGCCCTGGCCATCTAACTCAAGGACACAGTGACCCTGGGTGTCCCTCTCCTCAGTGAATGTTGCTTTTAACAGCAGCACAGGAGAGACTTTGGCTGTGTGTGCCTGTCCTGTAAGTGAACCCATTACTGCTATCCTATACTTTAAACACTGAGAGCCTGTCTACTTGTGTTCCTGTGCTGATGAATATCTTGTGAATGTGAACAGGCAAGAGCACCATCTGAACAGGAAGAGATACCGGTGAGATTACGGAAATATAAGAGGTATAAAGCACAGTCCATCATCATGTATTGTATGATATGTTGTGTCTAGAACATAAAATATGTGTGTGACTTTTATTTCACAATGGTCATTTGTCACGCTGCTAAATTCTCCTTCAACGGAGCTATTATTGTCTGAATTGAGTGGTAAGCTCATTATTCACAATTTGCCATTGTGACATGTCTGAAATTGGTTACTCTGCTGTGCTTAATTTTTATTTTTCATTCGCCCAATAGGTGGCTCCTCGCCTCTGTGCCAAAAATGATAAGAAGGGGCTAAGACTTGGCAGACTTGTGGAGCAGATCGGTGCCAAACTCCTTCAGGGTGCCATTCAGGAGATTACAGCGTTGTTCATTAACCTTCAAGTGAAGTAGGAGGAAGAGACACAGACCAGAGCAAGATGATTTTTACAAACAATGCTATGCAAGCTAATGTATGTCATCACAGTATGTGGTGACTTAATTGGGTACGAATGCCAAAAATCTATGTATTATTCACAAAGAAGACACAATGTTGTTCAGCGAAGTGCTAAATGCTCTAAAACAGAGCTGCGCTGTGAATATTTAAATGAAATCGCCGTCATTCTTTTCAACACAAACACAATTCCTTTGTATGTAAATGAGGTTTATGGAATTGGTTTGCAGCGGCAGATCTGCCACATCCTAGTGCTCCAACTCAGGCATACAAGATGAGGTATTGTCCTATGCTGGTTTTCTGGGCACATATGTACTGTTATCTGACTTTTACGACTTCTTTTGTGAATTGAAAATGAAAAAAAGGAAAGAAATGTAGACAGCACAGGCAAATAATGTGCATTGAACATGCCTTGGCCACTTGATTCATTCATTGTGATTAAACAAGGTTCTGGAAAGATTCCTCAAAGGTTTTAAACTATATTGATATGATTGCATATTACATTTGATGCAAATTTTTGGGCTGCATTTTTATGGTCTGAATCTCCTGTTCCATCCCAAATGGACACTGTAGAGGCCATTTACATTGAGCTCATCTTTGAGAGGATTTGAGCTTTGTAACGTTATGCATTATCCTGCTGGATAACATGGATGAACATGGTCAGCAACTCAAGGCTATAGCATTCAAATGATGATCAATTGTTGTGATAATAATGGTAGGGCTGAGATTCATAGGTGTGGAGTGAGTCCAGTGCCATGAGTGTTAATGAGCTATGTGTGGTGTTTTAACAGTTGTTACAACGATTACAATTAATATTTAGGGGTAAAAGTGTGACAAAAAAAAATTCCCCTCGCACCACTAAACAACCATCAGCCCAAACTATTTATACAAGGCAGGGTGGATCCAAGATGTACGTTGTTTACACCAAATTCTGACTCAACCATCTGAATGCCGAATGAGAAATTGAGACTTATGTATCAGACTAGGTAAAAAATATACTAGCACATTTGACAGCAAAATTAATGCTACTGGGCAGTATAATGCCATGGAATGCAGTTCATTTTCACAATAATGAAATGCAGAGACATTATCAACAAAATAGGATTATGTTGTGTAGTCTGCACAACTCCAAATAAATACAGTGGTCCCTAGTTATTCACGGGAGTTACATTCTAAAAATAACCTGCAATAGGTGAAATCCCTTAAGTCAGCTTTATTTTTTTTACATGTATTATAGATGTTTTAAGGCTGTAAAACCCCTCACTACAAACTTTATACATTTTTCTCAAACATACATGAACATTTTCAAACTTTGCTCTCTTGTTTAAAAACTCTCAAAGTTAAAACCTTCATGGAAAATAAGTCCAGTATTATAGAATGAAACTAAAGATTAAAACCTGTTGTCAAGAGCAAACATGCATCTCTGTCAGCAAGATTTATAAAGCTTTTTAGCTTTTGTTGGATAATGTTGGTAGCGTTATGTTCTTTTTACTGCAGTCACTGATCTACAAAGCTAAAGCAGTCTCCATCCCTAAGGGGGTCACACACCCGTTGCGCCACACACATGAGAGTTGGAAATAATGCATATCAGACGTGCACATTCACGTTATTAAAATGAAATTATTCAGATGGAGCCCTGTGGGGTGACAGAAATATGAACAGTGTCCTGAGTCATAGCTAGACAGCTGCTGACTTGCATTGTGTGTACACTGATATAAACCTATGTTTACCATTCTAAAATGTATGGCACTGAAAATATAAAAAACTGCGAGGCCGCAAAAGGTAAACCGCGCTATAACGAGAGACCACTGTACCACAAAACAACTTAATTGTGTCTATTATTTAAAAAAAAAAAAAAAGTTTTTTTCTTATGTTTGAAACACTAATAGTTGGGTTTATGGGAGAGTGTAGGTAATTGGTTTGTGAGGGGATCTTTACTACAAGCCTCACATTCTTGTGGAGATGTACAAGAAGGAAGGGCATCTGAAGCATATAAAAAAACTTACCCTTAGCAGCGAATTTCAGATTTGCTAAAATGTAGACAGCGCCCTCTAATGGATTTTTCATTTGAAAAGTGCAATGAGATGTACCCAGAGTAACAAGTATTTCCAATGATGGCGGGCTGCAATTTTCACAGATAGAACAATGAATATTTTCTCATTTTCTGAACATTTTCTGCATATCTGTGTTTGAAATATTCAGACAAGCCTGTCTGGCACAAACAATCATAGACTTAATTTCACATCATCATTCACTATAATAATCATTCACTTAATTTCTTTAATAAACATGTACAAAGCAGATCAATCTGCTATGATAATATATTTTAAAGATATGGATGTTATCCAGTTACTGTGGGCATATGATTGTTGATATATGCAAGTTTAATTTTTGTTTAGTATAAGGATATTTGTTTTGCATTGCAAGCTGGTGGTGGGATTCATGTTACACTATTTACCAGGTGATCACTGGGATTTCTTGAGCGGCTCATTTATAATCCTTCATAAAAATGGCCCTGATAGTTCAGTAAAAGAAGGTCAACAAACAGAACCCCTCATAATCAGGCTCCATTTGTGACTCATCAAGTGGACTTACTCACTGCACACACATGCAACCACTACCTGTGATTAGACAAACACAACACACACACACACACTAGCACAACATCTGCATGCAAGCACAGAGTCACTGTCCAATTCAATAAAACTGTATATATTAGTCAGAAAAGAAACGTTCAGGTTCAGTAGAAGTGTGCAGATATACAGCCATTAGCTGAGTGGGTGGGAAAATCTAGAAATCTGTTCCTGTCAGGAAAATATGAAAATGTTATGACACTTTGGTAATGACAAGGTTTCTATGGCAACAGTGTCTGTAAGAATGCAAACTGCAAAGCCTTGTTGTTATTGGCAAATAACTGCATAAATGCATTATGGTCCACGGAGGTTAAGCATTCATTTGGTTAGAAGCTGAAAGTTATAGAGCCATTTCTCTCTTATCACATCAGCGACCCTTGTTGACTCATTTCAAAACTATTTCAAAAGTGTTGTGCAATACATACACATGTGGCATTTCCTCTGGACAGAGAAGGGTAAACGTATGCATTTACATGTAAATAATTTAATAAAGCAAAACGCAAGACCACTTACTTGGGTCTGAGAGGATGGAGTCAGTCTTGGGCAGGAACTGGTCACAGCGAATGCCCTGGAAACCCTCTTTACACCTAGAAAAAGAGAGAGAAAGAGTCACAGTTAGTAAACAGTGATTTAATAGATGCTTTTATCGAAAGCAGTGTAGAGTGTTTCAGGGACAGTCTCCGTGAGGTTAAGAGCTCATTCCTTATGGAGATAAAAGCAGCGACCTTAAAAGGGGTGTACCTATTAAAATAGTGACTATTTAGTATTTAACGTTTCTGGAACAAGATCATCAAAAGCTTCTGTCAAAAAAGCACTAAATGTTCATTTAAATACAACAGAATATGAAATGCTAGATGAATGATATCCATTAAAAAAGAAAAAGAAATGCTGGCCTTGGAATTGAACTGAATTATAATCAGCTGAATTATGTCAATTGCATTGCTAAAATTAAATAAAATATAGGGAAAATTTAAAGGGCAATGGTAGTATAAAATGAAAACATAATAAAAGTCCCATTTTGTTTTACGTGGCTTTAACTGCTATGTACAGTTGAAATCAGAATTATAAACCCCCTTTAAGGTATATATATATATATATATATATATATATATATATATATATATATATATATATATATATATATATATATATATATATATATTTATATATATATATATTTTTTTTTTTTCCAATAGTCAACAGAACAAACCATTATCATACAATACCTTGCCTAATTATCCAAACCTGCCTATAACCCAATTAACCTAGTTAAGCCTTTAAATGTCACTTTACCCTGTATTGAAAAATGCAAAGATAAAACAAATCAGTTATTAGAAATGAGTTATTAAAACTATTATGTTTAGAAATGTGTTCCTTCTGTTAAACAGGCATTGGGGAAAACAATAAACAGGGGAGCTGATCATTCAGGGGGGCTAATAATTCTGAATTTAACTGGACTCAATTAGTCAGATAACCTGCCTATTATTAAGATTTGGCTTTTATTACTACTTATAAAGCAAATATTTAGCATTGTCCTATCCTACATTACCAAATTTACAGTGTACCTAAAATCAACTAAACTAATAACTACTATTAAGCAGGAAATTAGGAGTTTGAGCTAAAGTCACAGTTAATGGTTTGTTAATAGTGAGAACTGTACCTTAAAATAAAGTGTGACCATACTCATCATTTAAAAATTCCTGCATGTATAGACATTTTTAAATTAATATCTGTAACTTTATTTAAAATTACACTGTTGATCCATGCTTTACACCATACATAAATTTACTCATGTGACCAAACCTGTTGCTAACCTTCACTGTTTCCCATCTAAATATCATCATGCATATTTTGTAATAAAACAATATGAACACAACTGCATTTATTGTTTTTTTTTTTTTTTTTTTTTTTGTAAGTTCATAGTAATTAAGGCTATATAATAAGAAGTGTGAGTGAGAAAAAATATATAAATATTATAAATAATTATAGATGAAAAAAAAATGAAATAAAGACTATATTATTACTTATTTATTTATTTTGGGTGCTATTTGTTTCTTGTGTTAATGATTGTGCTTAACTTGTCCATAAACCAGAAATGTTCCTTTATTATTCCCGCTAGGTCACCCTACAACTCTAATTATACAATCAACAACCTTAATAACTATTAATAAGCAGCAAATTAGGAGTTTGAGCTAAACACCATAATTAGTGATTTGTTAATAGTGAAAACTGTACCCTAACATAAAGTGTGGCTATACTCATATTTTAGAAATCCCTACATGTAAATAAATCTGTAATTAATATCTGCAATTAGATTTATAATTAAGGGACTAAGCCGAAAAGAAAATGAATCGATGAATGAAAATGTATAATTAAACTGTTGATTCATGCTTTACACCATCCTTAAATCAATCCATATGATCAAACATGTCCCCATTTCCCATCTAAATGTGAGTGTAAATGTTTTGTAATAAAACAACATGGACACGATTGTATTTATTTTTATTTTTATTTTTTTAAGTACACAGTAATTAAGGCCATATGATAAGAAGTGTAACCAGAAAAAAGACACATATTACAAATAATTAAAAAAGAAAAAAAAGAAAAAAAAAATCAAGACTATATCTATAATATTATTTATTTGCTAATTGTCTCTTATGTTATTGGTTGTGCTTAACTTGTCCATAAACCTCTAATTATACAATCAACTACCTTAATAACTATTAATAAGCAACAACTTAGGAGTTTGAGCTTAATGCCATATTGATGGTTTGTTATTAGCGAGAACTGAACCTTAAAATAAAGTGTGACTATACTTATATTTTTGAAATCCCTGCATGTAAATAAATTAGAAATTAATATCTGTGACTAAATTTATAATTACACCTTTGATCCATGCTTTACACCATCCTTAAATCTCCCCATATGATCAAACATGTCCCTAACCTTGCCCATTTCCCATCTAAATATCACCGTAAAAAAAATTGTAATAAAACAACATGAACACGATTGCATTTATTGTTTTTTGTTGTTGTAAGAACATAGTAATTAAGTCAAACAGTAGGGCTGTGCAATTAATCGTAAATCCGGTTTCAGTTTTGATTTCGGCTTCTAACGATTATGAAAAACCATTAATCGAGATAAACGATTATTCCATCCTATACCGCCCCCTTTCCAGTTGTACACATTTGTTGCTCTGCAAAGCTCAGTTCCACATGAAAATGACTAAAAGCATGTACTGTTATGTAACTTTTGCGGCACAGGATGCTGCTATCATCATGCCCTGATCATTCATTGATGTACATTCGAATCATTCATATTTTTTAAAAGCGTGAAAGAGCACATGCTCTTGTGTGTGCACGTGCCGCGCTTAGCCTCGGACAGGCTTGAAAACGAGCAGACCACACATCTAACGCCATCTCCTTAATGTGAGTGCTTTAATGGTCAAATACGTGCACATTTGTGTCAACACGGTTTTTAGTGAATGTTCAAATTAACCCTCATTTGTGTAATAAACAAACAAGTTGAGAATCAAAACACATGTGAAAGAGAAATTATATTAGAGCCGCACTATTCTTAAAGTTACTGCGCGCAATATTCTGGAAGCTGCCAGCTTTTATCATTAAAGCAACAAGTGGAGAAAATCCCTTAATACTCTTGACTGAAGGACTTTTGTAGCTAAAGTTTTTTTTTTTTTCTTACAATGAAGATACTTAAAGCACAGTTTAAACATGACAGATTTAATAACTTATTTCTAATAACTGATTTCTTTTATCTTTGCTATGATGACAGTACATTATATTTTACTAGATTTTTTTCAAGATACTAGTATTCAGCTTAAAGAGACATTCAAAGGCCTAATTAGTGTAATTAGCCAAGTCATTGTATAACAGTAGTTTCTTCTGCAGACAATCAAACATATTCATTGCTTAAGGGGGCTGATGATATTGAGCTATTAAAATAGGTTTCAAAATATTTAAACCTGCTTTTATTCTGGCCGAAATAAAACAAATAAGACTTTCTCCAGAAGAAGAAACAGAGGAAATACTGTGAAAAATTCCTCTGGTAAACATCATATGGGAAGTATTTATATATAAAAAAATTCACAGAAGGGCGAATAATTTTGCCTTCAACTGATAATCGTTTTGAATAATCATGATTACAATTATGACCAAAATAATCGTGATCATGATTTTTCCCATAATCGAGCAGCCCTACCAAACAGTACAATAAAAAGTGTGATCTAAAAAAAAATCATATAAATAATTCTAAATTTTAACATAAAAAAATTAAATAAAGACTATATATCATTTATTCATTTATTTTGGTAGCTAATTGTCTCTTGTGTTATTGATTGTGCTTAACTTGTCCATAAACCAGAAATGTTCCTTTAATATTCCCGCTAGGTCATCCTACAGCTCTAATTAAAGCACATTTTAGGGGCCAGGATGGTCCCTGTGCATCCAATAACCATAAATCTTTTAGACGTGGATAGCCAATCTAAGTGAAAAATGTTCGAGTGTTTTCAGGAATCAGATGGGAAATCCAGACGTGCCGTGTCATGCATCTGTTGCAGATGGCAGTGTAGATTGATTCGGAAATACATGGGCACAGCGAGTTTGCTGATTTTCTACCTCAGCAAAGCCCTGACTGCTCGAATAAGTCCTCTCTGTGTTCACTAAATATGGAAATGAAATGCTTGTCTTTTATATATGAAATATGTATGCCATGTCCCTCCCAGCCAAGCTGTTTGCTCTCTTTCTCTCTCCAGCTCTCTCGCTCATGCAAACTGCTCATGTGTTTCTGCCTGTCTCACCGTTCCTCTCTCTCTCTCCTTCCTGTCATCACTTTATCCTCATTTTTCCCCCACTTCTTGACTTTTCAAAGACACTGGAGGCTAATCCTGCTTTCAGCTGGTTGAGTCAGGAGAGCAATGTGACAAAGAAAAATGTCCCTGGCTCTAAATGGCAGAGTACAAACCGAGCATATGCATATGGCATGAGCACGCGCCTCAACAGATAACGTACGCCTTTGTTGTCTATACGGCACATTTCATCCTTTTACAGAGGATCAAGTGCTCAATTTAATGCTGCATATTTGTTATACTGCGTTTCCCCAAGTTGCCAAGAGAAAAAGACATTTTAAAAAATTAATCCGCACCATTTATACAACATAAATAAATAAACACTCCTGATTTCAAAATGACATTCTTGTAGCAAGGCCTACTCAGGGAACATTTCTTAAAAGAGACATTTAAGTTTCAAGAGCATTTGTGCAATCTCAAGAACATTTTGCCCCTTAAAGAAACTTTTGTGTATTGGAAGGACTAAAGGATCTTCGTGGAACAATTTGTGCCAATAAAGAACCTGTCCTATTGAAACATTTGCCTGGCTCAGCAACTTTCTCAGAGGATATCCGATCAACAAAAGATCATTAAAATAATTAAGAAAATATCAATGTGTGTGAATATTTGTGAAATGTGTTTTGCTGGGCGTCACGGTGGCATAGTGGGTATCACGATCACCTCACAGCAAGGACCTCACTGATTCGAGCCACAGCTGGGTAAATTTCATTTCTGTGTGAGTTT